TCCTCCCCTTCCCCCTTCTCTTCATCCCTTCATTCCTTCTTCCATCCCTCCCTCATCTTTTCTCCCATTCCCTCATCCCTTTCTTCATCCTTTCATCTCTTCATCCTTTCCTCCTCCCCTCCTTCCCTTCATCCATTCCTCCATCCCTTCGTCTTTTAATCCCTTCATTCTTTCTTCCATCCCTCCCTCATCCTTTCTCCCTTTCCTTCATCCTTTCCTCCATCACTTCATCCCTTTCTTCCTTCATTCCTTCCTTTCACCTCCTTCCCTAACTCAAAATCACCGCTTAGCATCTTCCAGGGTCTAACTGGGGTGGGGGGTCTTAAGCAGGCCTGGAAAAGGATATTTCCTGAAGACTGAGCCCCTCAGTCTTCGCCCTAAGCCTCCATCCACTCCCCACCCCCAAAGACTCACCACCCATCCCTTTGACCCACTTCCTTCAAAAAATAAAATTCTTAAAATTTCATGATGCAGTCCTTCTTAGTGAAACGATACATTTGATATGATACATCTGGTTCTGTTGGCTTCCTCAGACCTTCAGTTCTCTGGGTGAGAAGCAGCTGGGAGTCTGCAGACATGGTTCTGAACTGGAAAAAGGTCAAACTTTGGATCAGGGATGAGTCTCTGCCACAAACAGAGTTTAATGAGAGATGATGAGCTCCACGCTTTGGTTTGTTGGGATAAAGAGTTGAGTCAAAAAACAAAACTCTAGATTTACTGGTCCGTCTATGTTCCAACCAGAACCTGTGGTGGTGAGGGATGGATTGGGACTGAAAGCAGCAGGATATCCTGGAGACAAGCAGCTGAAATTATATTAGGGTGGCTGGGCTCAGAGTTCAGAGGCAAAGCTTCATCATCCAGGAGGAGCTCAGGTAGAGCTGCTGCTCCTTCATATTAAAACAAATCAGTTTAGGTGGTTCAGACATCTCCTGAACACTCCATCAACATCTCCACGTCCTTTAAAGGGTCAGAGTGCAGTGCTTGGAAGTAGCAAAGGACTTCAGGACATATTTGGACCAGCTAAACAAGCAAGTTTGTCCCAACCTGGGACAGTTTATAGACCACTTTCAGTTTGTGCGGTTCACATAGCTCACAGCCTCTGTTATACGCAGATGATCAGTAGGTGTTTGGACTTACAGTGGTTCACTTCAGCTGCTGAACTAAGGCAGCAGCAAGACATGAAAGAACTGCTGGACGTTTATAAGAGGCAGAGCTTTTCAGTTGTGAGGAAGTGAATATAAAACTCAACAAACAAGAGTAAAAAATAATAATGAAATAAAAAAATCTATGTCAAAAACTTTTTATTTTGCATTGGCCTCAAAGGCATGTTTGCCTGTTTTCTTATTTATTTTTTTTGTCTCAGTGGACAAAAGCGAAGGAGAAGAATGTGTGTCTGCTTCTGAGGAAAACATGAGGGGGAAAAACTGATTCAAAAGATTTGAATTGTTCTTGAAAACCACATCTTTAACAAAAACACAGCACACCTTGAACACAATGAGCTGAGCTGGGAGAACAGATGCAGCCAGAGGAAGGAGACCACCACACCCACGAGAAGCTGTCTGCTGTAGAAACAACACAAAACAATCCCTGGAACCAGCTGAATGTTACAATAAGAGTAACGAATCGTACAGTTTATGCTCAAGTCCTCTTTCAGTTGGTTTAATTTCCCTCACATTCACAGTCAGACGTCACCAAACAGTTCAGTTTTTCAGTTTTAGTTTGAGACCAGGTCAGGTGGGCCTGCTTAATTCATCTGATTAATACACATCTCGTTTTGCAAAACATTATGTTAATGAAAACATATCTAATGAAGTGATGCACGTCAAACGCTCGAGTGATGAAGTGTGGACCCTCTGTCAGTGTTAGCAGCAGTAACTGTTATTATAGAAGTCATGATTGACCTTCATCAGAAACCAGGGCAACGAGCACATTCACAACACCCCAGTTAGTTTTTATAGGTGAGCACATTAAGGGTACATTGTGTCTCTGTCGTTCTGTTAATTAAACAAAACGTTTCTGTCTGACAGGCGTTTGGAGAAAAGAAGACTGCATTCTAACATCAGGGCGTTGCTTGTGAAACGAGGAGGATTTCTCATGTTTGGACTTGATTGGATGTAAATGTGTCATGACAACATCCAAGCGGGAGATGGAAGAAGGGATTTTGAAATCCCAGGTGCGAGCACAAACCCTAACACAGCAGCGATGTGGAGAAATGTGAACCAAACAGTTTTATGTGATGAGGCATTCTATAAAAGAATTGTCTCAAACCGTACATGACGCGCTGCGATATCAGCTCAGTAAGGACAAGACTAAACCAAGTATTTTTGAATTTAAATGTTTTTATTTTGGGGGTGGGTCGACTTTACATGACAGAACTGGCATTTTGAATTTTTCAAACTTTTTTCACACAATAAGAGTTGAGGTGCTGTGATCTTTGAACATTCATCCATTAGTTTTCTTTGTTCGATTTTATTTAAGGGTTGCAGGGAGCTGGTACTGAGTCTCTGTGAGAGAGGAGGTGGACACCCTGGACATGTCTCCAGTCCATTCCAGGGACACATGGACAAACAACCATTCACTCACATATACAGACAACTTATTGTTAATGGTGAAACTAACATTTTAACACATTCTCACTCCTGACACGTCAACATATTCACGCTTTTCCAAGGTTCCCTCTGCGTCTTATTTTGACGCGTCGAGTAACCCCCTCACGTCAGTCCTTGTAGCCCGCGGCTAAAAAAACGTCAGTATGTGACGACTTGGGAGTGAGAATGGGTTAAACATTTATAATTGTGGAAGAAAACCCATTGATGCACAGGGAGATTATGTAAACTCGTTAAGCTAAACCTTGTTTAGCATTTTATTTAGTCCAAGGACCCTCTGACCACCAGTAGGCAAGGCAGGTGAAGTGTCTTGCCCAAGGACACAACATCTGAGAAAGCTGGAACAGGGGATCGAACTAGCAACCTATCGGTTACGGGACAACTACCCTAATCACTACCCCACAACCGCTCACTAAACTAAACTAAACTAAACTAAACTAAACTAAACTAAACTAAGAAAGATAAGACAAGATAAGATAAGATAAGATGCTTCAGTCGCACAACACAAGGTAGAAAATGGTCTAAAGGAGACATCAATTTTTCACTCCTAATTTTTTTTAAAAACAACATAAAAACTGTACAAAAAGAAAACATCAGCAGAGTGATAAGTAGGGTCAATTATACACAATTAAAATAAAAGGTTAGTTGCAGGCTGTAGTAAATATGCCAGAATATTGTCCGATGTCAAAGTTATTAAATTTAGGAGTAAAGGACAAGGGGTCAGATTTATAAAGCTTGCGTACGCCACTTTTCACCCAAAGGTTGTGATTAATAAAATCCAAACTTGACATGAAAATGTGCGGTGCCTCACGCCAGCTCTGACCCATGCGTACGCTCATTTTGGAGACGTGAAACTGCGACACAGATGGTGAAGTGAGGAATTAGAGCCACACTGTGTAATGATCACTGTCAGATATTTAATTTACCTTCATAATCAGACTTAGATTTTTATTCAACTTTATTATCAGCTTTCTTAACAGTAATATTTATGCTTCTGCTGCTGAGCCATGAGGACCTTTGAAATAAAAAAACTGAAATCTTAAATAAAAATTCACACATCTCCTTCCTCCTCATGACCCTGACCCACAGACCCCTCCCCGACAAGACACATTTCAACAGCACAACAGCAAAAATCTCAGTTATAGTCACGCTTTGGGTGAGCGTGCCCTCGCCAGCGTGGATGTTATACTGTAAAAGATTCATGTTTTAATGTCCGTATTTCTCACGTGCGCACGGGGTGGGTGGGGGTGAGGAGACGGTCTGCCGCAGATAACAGCAGGCAGGAGGGGGAGGATGAGGGAGAAGAGCAGTGAACTTAATTTTATCTGACTTATTTAATTTTATTTTTATTGTTTTTATCATCCTGCAGGCCCTGAGAGAAAATTAATTTGTTTGATTGCTCTAAACGTCTGTAAACCTGCAAAATGAGGGAAAATCTGTGTCAGTTACAGACATTCTGTTCACGTGAGCAGCTGTCAGTCAGCATCTGTCATCCTCCAGACACACGACGGAGCGTCTGAACCAATCACTTTTGTTGACACTGATCAGCTGACTGATTTAAATACATCTTAACATTCATGAGGTACGTTACATTGACTGTTTATGGTTGAATGTGGGCGTGTAGAGGGTAGAACCTGAGGCGGGACCTCGTGCGCAAACTCTGACGTGCGGCTGTGATTTATAAAGGAAAGATGCGCAGAAACGTGCGTATGTACGGTTTTATAAATCTGAATTTTTTTTGGCGTACGCCATTTCCGCCTTTTGGCCGTACGTTCACTTTTAGTATGGTTTCCACGCAATCCTTTATAAATGAGACCCCTGCTGATTTGAAACAGTTATATTTATTTCTGTAGAGTTGGCTGTTCTTCAGACTGAGTGAAAAGGATGAGCTGAGACTGTCCTTCTAGAGAGGATCAGACTTTTCAGCTCAGCGTATGGATTTTAAATCTCTCTCTCCACTTTGTTTGTGTCTCACACTCCTCCCCTCTCTGCTCTTTAACGGCTGTGTTGTGGTGCTGACGCTCTCTCCTCTCTCTCTCCTCTCTCTCTGTTTCTGTCTTGGCTCGTATTTAAGTGTGGATGGCTGACTTGTGTTTCAGTGGGACAGACTGGATCATGCAGAGGGCCACTGTGACCCCTGCTGGGGCTCCTGCAGATGAGACTCCAGGGTGTGCAGGTGAGCTTTAAAAACTCTCTTTTCCCAGAAAACTTCTCAAATCGAGCTCCTTGCCTAAACGAGCGGAGTTGTGCGAGGAGTGTATTTTTAAATCCTGCGAGAGGCGAGACACGTTTGGTGTTAGAGCGTGGCTGGACTGTTTCGGTTGGTTTTGGTTGACTCGTTTAGAAATCAGACAGCAGCATGTTTAAATCTGGAACAGACACATTAAAAGTCCCACTTTAGGAGCGTCTCAGTCATTTGGCAGACGCTCTGACTCGTAATGTCTTACAGTAAATTGTGTAAAAAAATGTCTACAACATGGGAGGCCACAGTTTGGAGGGCATGACAACATCTGCAGCAAAATGAAAGCTCATTACAGTCGCCTGTAAAAAGTTATTGTTTCATCCCTGGAGTGTGTTGTGTTTCAGGCAGCCCTCCTCAGGGTTCTCTCAGGTTGAAGATGAGCTGCGAGTCTTCATTAGTTAACAGGATTTCAGCGCTGCTTGTTCAGCTTAGCTCTAAAAGAGGCTGAAGAAGAAGAAGACTCATTAAGACGTCCTGAAACCTGAAAATAACAAGAACAAATTCTTCAGAACGAAGCGACGGTGTGGACAAACTGCACTAACGTGTGTCTGCTGTGCACATCTGAACCAAAACCTTCTTTAAGATAATTATTTGATTCTTGCTTGAATGTTTAACCCTCACTCTTCATCACCTACCAGTCATTGCTCCAAACTTCAAGGAAATATCTGGTTAATTTCGAAGTGATGCTCTGACAGCGTGTCATAGTTCGTATTTAGTCGTAGAGCTCAGTATGTGAAGAAAAAGCAGAAGACTTGGTCCACGCTAGGCTAACGGCTAACCAAACAATCCTACGTAAAAAAAAAAAAAACAAACCGATATGAATAAATGCAACATCTGCTATTATTACACCTCTACACTGCATTGACGGTACAAACTTGGTACATTTTGGTACTCACATACAAAGTAAAAGACAAAGCGGTGTAGTAATCTTGCTTTTATCTGTGGCAGCTCCTAAATTATGGAACGACCTTCCTTTTACCATCAGACAGGCGCCGTCCGTCCGTTTTTAAATCCCTTCTTAAAACCTGTCTCTTCCCTCTGGTTTTGATCTCAATTTGTGCTGCTGATTTTTAATTTGTTTTAATTACTGATTGCATGAGTAAATGCATGTTTTTATTACAGCACTTTAGTCCTGTGGGTGTTTAAAGTGCTCTATCAATAAAGCTGGTGTGGTGATACATTTGTACTGCAGCCAGTACATAAGTATGTCAGGTACCTGGTAACAAACTGGTTAAGTACCAGGAACAGTTCTCTCTTTTTAATAATGCTTGTTCAATATTTAATGTTAAGTGTGACAAAACAAAATATTTTTACAGTCATAAATGAAAATGGTAACTTAGTTAAAGCAGAATCATATTTGAAATTTTCCATTTTCTTTCCTGGAGTTGTGCTTTCCTCATAAACAGTTTGCTCTCTGTCGCCCCCGAGTGGTCAGTCTTGATTGTAGAAGATTCTCATTTTCATATGTTTTTCCTCTTTCTAATAAATTTTCCCCAGCCTAAACTCAGAGAGCAGCTTTGTCCCAAATGGAGGGTCCTGGAGCCTCGGTGGTCTCAGGCACTGTGATTGGCTCTGGCTCAGCTGAGAGGAAAGATTTAAGCCTTTATGGTTCTTGTCTTCCAGCATTTTTTTCTTTCTTTTCAGCCTCCACGAGAAACACGAATCCTGACCACATTCAGTCACTGGCGAACATTTCTTTAAAAAGCTTCACTCTCTGTTATGGTTAACTTAGAGTGACTCATGGAAAGTCCTGATGCCGAGTCATGTTACTGTGAAGGAGCTGCTCTCAAAGCTGACAGCAGACTTTTAACTCAAACAAAAGTAAAAACAATCAGGGTGATAAATGTGGTTAAACTCGGTCAGTTATCTTTGATTTAAATATTATCGCCCGTCAGTCCAAGCTGCCTCGGCCGGTTGATTAAAAATTAAAAAAAAAATGGCTTAAACTCTATTTTTTACAGACTTTGGTTTAAAACTTGGTGTGGTAGCTGAGAGCCATTCACAACAGTCTGAGCCACACTGTTTCAAAACAGCTACAACTTCATCACCTCACAGCAGAAGATCTTATTAAACTGTATAAAACATAAAACCTTTTAAGGAATACAAACAAAAGCTGCAGTTTGTCAGTTCATAAAAAATAAATTTATTGCTTAGTGTTGCTGATTGTCACATGTTTCAATCCAACAGTTTTTGGTTATAAAGACACATTTTCACTTTAAGCTTTAACAGTTCTAACAGTCAGGTTTGTATTTGGACACAAACAGCCTAAAGGTCCGATTGGACTGGTTCTGTTCTGGACTAATGTGAGTCATCTTGGGTTATGGGTGTAATGTTGAAGCCCAGGACCCTCCAACAGAAACTCACCCATCACTCAATATTTACCTGAAAAACATCTCTTTTTTTTTGTAAGAATCAACTCTAAATAATGTTTTTTTATTTTGACTTTATGTTCTGCTCATTTGTTCTGTTTATTTTATATTTAATAACTCAGTTTTAGTTTCTTCAGCAAATTTCAGAAAGTCCTTTGTCTCACAGTTTTCAGTATCACATTCCATTTGAAGAGAAAATTCATTTAGTTTGGTCGTTCTATCATTTCTTGTTCAGACCTGGAGAAAAAACCCTGTCCAGTTGGTTTGGGGACTTATTTATAGGACAGATGGCATATGTGAGGGAATATGTTGTCTTGGCTCACATCCCCAGGCCTGAGATTTGGCTCCAAACTTGAACATCAAACCCGGTACATCCGGTTTCCTCTCCTGATATCTCTGCTCATCCTCTGAGTGTTCCATCCTTTCAGCTGAACATTTCAGTTACTTCGGAGGTGAAAATGGGCATCAAATTCTTTGAATGGATGAGTGAACTCTGAGCCACACAGCAAACTGAGTGTTTTCTAGTTGTTAACATAAAGATAAATAATTTTAAATGATACCCTAAATCCTGCAGATGAACCCTGTGACCGTCCGACACCTGACTGGTCCAGAAGTGTTTGTGGCTCAGACCCGCCTCAGTTTTCCAGCAGAGACCCTCAAACAATCCGTCGGTCTCTTGTGTTGGGTGTTTTGTTGAATGAGTGGAGCCTTTCTGCCCCACAAGAACCACAGACGTCAACAGTTGGATCCTAATTGATCCCAGCACAAACCAACACTTCAAACCACCCTACACGCTGTAAATCATTCGGTTTGAAGCAAAGCCAAACTGTAAATATGATTAAATGTGTTTAATCTTAAGTTTCTCCATCCAGCTATGGTTCAGATCCCATCAGTGCTCCAGGACAAAGCAGATCCACACATTTTGTTCAAATGTCTGTCGCTTATCCACCAGGTGATGTATTGACAATAAATGAACGCAAATACAGCAGTGGAACGTCAATGATAAGTCTTAAAACATGGTAATATGTGACTCATGTTGTCGGTTGAAGAATGTTCATGGGTTTACTGGGTTATTTTAGTGCTTTGGAATTTGATTTTGCAAAAATTTTCAGTGCATTAGTGCTTTAGAATTAGGGGAACTAAACATTTGAGTTAGTGCTTCAGTGGAACTAATTTTTAGATTAGTGCTGCCGACCACTGCAAATCAGTGATTATTTTATTAGAGTTTTATCATTCAAACAAACCCAAAAGCTCAAACAATGTTGCCCGTTTGCCTTTAAGCAGAAAATACTGGGGTTAGCTCTGGAGACTTTCTCAGACACATTGGGCCTCATTCAAGAACATGTTCATATTCTTATCCTAAATTTCTCTTACTTTTGTTCGTACAAAGGGTTCGTACGAACATGTCACGTCAGATTCAACAAAATCTTCTATCTTCAGGAAAAGTGTGTTAATGAGCTGCGTAAATTACACCTGTAGCAAGTGACAGATGCGGTTCTGAAAAGACGCATTTTAAAATG